GACATTGCTGATTATGAACCTAGACCATGATTTTACGAATCTGAGGTCAGGCTGGAAAAATTCAAAATGGCAGACCCAATATGGCAGCAAACAAATTCTAGTCGATCCGATTCGCTTTAAACGTTTTCCATGGGGGTTTTCGGGATTGGTGATTAATAGAGAAGATATAAATATGAATTAACCTAAAAGGCATATTTTTGAATATTTTCGCCATTTTTGCATATGATAGCCTATTTTGAGGTATAGCGCATATTTTAACTGTCAAGTATGTTTTCGGCGTATTTTTTGTTAAAAATTATTTAAATTTGTTTTGTTAAGGTTTTCTGAATTTATATACATGCATCCCTCAAATATATTTTAACTTTAACATTAAAAATCTGGCAGCACTGTACATCCTGCAATACTTTTCAATATGGTATTCATACTTCCTATTTGGCGCTGTAGCCACCTAAGCGATTTTGGCCGAGTTCAAGCCAGCGGAGCCGCTGTGTTTTAATTCGCAGCAGTCGTTGTAAAGCTCATACAGCTTATCGTTCCATCGTCTGCGGTGCTCCCCACCGCCAACGCCTAAACGCCCGTAAATCCTCCGCAAAATCTTTCACTCGAATACTCCAAGAGCCGCCTCATCGGCTGTAGTCATTGTCCATGCATCGGCGCCATACACCAGCACGGGCATGATGAGGAACTTATAGAGTGTGGTCCCACATGACTCGCGTTGGGCCCGATCGCAACTTGGCCCTATAGGTACGGTGACCATCCGTCCTGTATTATACGGGACAGTCCTCTTTTTTCGTCCTTTGTCCTGGTAATTTATTTATTTCATACGGACGTCAAATGTTCTGTATTTATTTTAATGTCCCGTATTTAGCCCGTATTCGGTATTCTTTGCCTTAACAGCTCATAAAAATGACATGCCTATGAACCAGTTTTTATTTTTAACCGACTTCCAAAAAAGGAGGAGGTTATCAGTTCGTCGGAATCTTTTTTTTTTTTTTTATGTATGTTACCGCATAACTTTGGACCACGTCATAATTCTTTTTGCAACGGAAAGGTAGTGCCTCAGAGGTGGTCCCATACTAATTTGGTTTAGATCCGATCATTGGATCATGAAATATATATTATAGATATATATATTTTTTTTTTAAGTCGGTTTTTTTTTTTGCTAAAAATTACTTGTTAAATCTGGATGCTTGTGATTCGAATCGAGGAGCACATATCGATGGCTGAGTTGAAGATTGACCTATCTCGGCAGCCAGTTCGAAAACGCCCTATCTCGGAATACTTTTCAAGAACATCCGACTTCAGAATTTTTCAATTAAATTCCAAAATAGGGCGTTCTTCAATCAAATGCTGAAATAGCGCATTGTTGAAAATTTTTCTGACATATGGCGTTTTTGAACTGGCAGCCATCGATATGTAGAGGGTTTCTGAAGTAGGGATAAATCGATACAAGTAAATCCAAGTACATACTCGATACTTTTCTCAATTTACCAAGTATTTTTGTACTCGATACTTTTTCCTGCACACTGCTTTGTGCTTGGTCGAAATCTAAGTCTGACAATAATCCGTTGAATACTCCGCTCGTGCTTTATAAGTAGCCGGCTATTTTCATCATGTTTCCCTGCCTAGGAATGTTTGAAAGACATTTTGTGGGGTAAAAATCCCGAGCACAAAGTACAAAGCTATGGAAAAATATTCAGCGAGTGTGTGATGTTACAACTGAATATTTATGTGCTGCATTCACAAAATATCAAAAAATATATGCCAAATAAAATGCTGATCCGAGGCTAATGTATTGCTGTTTCAAGGCTTTTATGCAAAAAATTAGCAAAATTATTTTTTGTCCCGTATTCAGCTGCCATAATTATGGTCACCGTACCTATAAGCGACATATTTTTTCTCTGCAGGTTCTTGACACTCCTCATCGTACTACTTGTTCCTTCGAGCTCGCTGAAATCCGAGTACTTCTTCGGCGGCGGTACTTAATGAACGGGAAATGTGCTTCCACTGCTCGCACATATCGGTTTGTTGAAGAGTGCTCTCTGAGAGCAGGTGTGGGGGTCGAGTCGCGAATGCATTGGCTGTCTGTTGTGATTACAGCTTTTCGACGTTAAGCTTTCCTCCCATTTCTGGGCGCACATTTTTTGCTGCATCTTGGCTGCAACAAGATAGTGGTCCGAGTCGATGTTTGGACTTGGGAGCGTAGTCGACACTATCGATAGTTCTTTAGAAACCATCGATAACTATCGACAGTTTTCGATAGTGTTTTAAACTTACAATTTGGCTTTATACTGCGCTTGGCATATTTGTAAAAAATATTTGCCAAGCCCATTTTTAGAAATTTTACAGGATGAAAAAACTTCTTATAGCCATTTTCTTCAAGAATTTTTCAAAACTTGTATTAAAATATTTTGCGTGAAACAAAACTTCATAAAAACCAGAAGGAGTCGTTGCTAATTAAAATAATTCGATTTTTTAGAGCTATTTACTTCCTTCAATATAAGATATTTTATCATTCAATATCAGTTATTTTACTTCATTCAATATCAGATATTTACCTTTCTCAGTTCTCTTCACGAAACTATCTATATTTTTCACTTAAAAAAACACCCGCTTAAACAGGAAAGTGCTGGTAAATTTACGCTGCCGAAATATCTTTTATTAAAACGTGCTTTATCAAATGCGCAAGAAAGAATGTTGCTCATACCCCACGTACACCTGAGTACCACACTTTTGTGCTCATTTTTAACCGACTTCAAAAAAGGGAGGAGGTTATCAGTTCGTCGAAATAAAATTTTTTTTTTATGTATGTCACCGCATAACTTTGGACGACATTAACCGATTTCGATAAATTCTTTTTTCATCGGGGGTGGTCCCATACTAATTTTGTTTAGATCCGATAATTGAAGAATTGAAGTCGGTTTTGTTTTTTGCTTCAAAATTAGTTGTTCATATAACAAATCCTTGCGTATTTTCATTTGACCACTCATTATTCCTTTCTTTATCAATCGATATTCTTCATTAGCAACTTGATTTTTTTGTAACAGAACAGGCTTTAGCACAAATGGAAAAATTTTGCACAGAACCTGTTATTTTTTTAATTTTTCTTCTGTTAAAGTTTTATTTTTTCCATTTTTTCATAAAAAAAACTGGAATGCTTTATGTTGCCTTATCTTTTAATTCCAAAAACTTCAACCCTTATTCGCTTTTCTTAAATCGGAGTATTTCGGATATTGTAAATTCATCCTCAATTATGCTACAAAAAAAGGGTTATGAAGTATGCAAACGTACATTTAATTTGCGACAAATCAAAAACATTTTTATTCCTCCTTGTAGAGACAAATTCAAGTTTTGCAAATTTTTATATCGGTAAAGAACATTAAGTCAGAAAGCCAATTTTCATTTTTTAATTGCGGATAATATTGCGATCTCAATTTGCGTATGTGTATATAAAAAGAATAAAATCAAAAATGCAACACAATGGAAAAGAAAGTGCAGCAAAGAAATATGTTTTTTAAAAAGTATAAAGGGCCAGAATGTTCTAAGCAAAGAGAAAGTAAAAAGAGCCGCATTTTGCTAAGCGTTTGCCCATCGTTGATCTATCTATAATATCTATAATCACACCGGCGTTGACGAAAGTTTTCGCTGAAAAATCGTCAATTTACCCCATAAAAATCGTCATTTCGGCAAAAAAAAAACGTAAAATTTTTATTTATTGTACTTTTTTTAACACAATAATAATAATAGATTGGCGCCTTAATATTGTCACACAAAGCGGAGGGACCTACAGTTTTACGCCGACTCCGAACGACGATTGTATTTTTATGAGAAGCTGTTTTTCATGGCAGAAATACACTCGGAGGTTTTGCCATTGCCTGCCGACGGACGACCGCTGTTAAGAAAAAACCTTTTTTCTATATTTTTGCGATGTTACTTTGAACCCAGGCCCTGCGGAGTGGAATTACCAGTACACCACAGTGGCCACCAAACATAACGACTAGAAACTTGCACTTTATCAGACTAACATTTTTTGGGCTATAAAACTGCACATCCAAAAATGTTCTTAATCTTCAAATTCAAAAGTTTGAAATTTGGTTGAACATTTGATTTACATACATATATGGTTTTGGTTCAAGCATGAACAGTATTTTTATAAAACAGTAATAAAAAAACACTGTATCTTGAAAAACATTGTGGATATAAAAAAAATTAACATGTGAACACTTGAATAAGTCAGTCACTGTACATATATGGAATTTATGGAATTTTCATAGTAAGTGGTACTGAAAAAGGCAAGAAAATAAATATTTAGAAACCAATTTTTGGTTGCATTTATATATATGTATGTACGTTTTCCCACCCCAGTACACATATGTATATTTAATTTTAGAAATAAGTCATATGCCTTACATATATGTATGTTCATATTACTTATGTATTTAACAAGTGTGCATACACTTAAGGCTTAATACGAGAGGAACTGTAAGACATGCACATTTTTTTTCATTTTGTTGAGAATATTTCGTTGAATTTAGTGCTCATTTGAAGCGCCTTAATCGGGATTTTTCGCGTATGTTTTTATCTTCTCTCTGGATCGTTCATTAAAATGAGAATAAAACAAAGCTTCTCCGATGCCCACAATTGCAGATATCAGCTCAGATCTTGAGAAAACTAAGTGTACCTATTCAAGTAGTTAAGTGAAGCGGAGTTTATTTGTTTAATTTTCCATTATTCTTTAAGATAACAAAAATAAAGGAAATCTACTACTGTTTCCTAAAGCGGACTTCCTTTCTTCCTCGATTCTGACGTACTTCCAAAATACAACATTGAGCTAAAGGCGTACCAAATGGCGCTGTCACAATGTACAACATCTATTATCTGAACATTACAGTATATGCATACATACGTACATACAAATCTAATTTTTTGTTTTAAAGAAATGTTTTATTTTTTCAAAACATTGAAACAACAGTTTTGTTCCTGCCTTGAAAGTCGTATCGAGAATTATGGGTCTTAATGAACATCTAGCAGGAGTAACGCTCTTAGCTTTTGGCAATGGGTCCCCCGATCTTATAGAAGCTTTCTCAAACCTAGGCGGTGGCGATCCAATGTTCCCGGATCTGTTTGGAGCCGGAGTATATGTGGTTCTTTTTGTTGCTGGTCTTATATTGCTATTTTACCCATTCGAGTTACAATGGAACAATGTGCTGAGGGATGCGTGTTTCTTAAGTTTCGGAATAATATATGTTGACTACTGTTGCGTATCAGATGGAGTTGTCACACGCACCGAAGCCATACGTAAGTTGAAAATTACATATGTCAAAGAAATTAATGCTGAACAATATATGTATGTATATGTATGTATACTTATATGCATACTAACTAAATTTATTACATCTCTATAAACATTCGGACTCATTTTAGAGTCAAACAAGTCAACGAATTCTGAGTTGTAACCCTCTTTCTGAGCTATAAAGTCAGAACAACAGAACATATTTCCCTTCTTAGAAGGGCACGCAAATACGAGTCCAAGTTAGGAGTCATATTAGAGTCTGAAATATGACGCTTTTCTGAGTCTTAAAAATAAATATTGTTTATAATTCAGTTTGTTTATAAACTTTTACTTCTATGTGAACTTTGTTACTTTTGTTCAACTCAGAATTTATGACGTATTAACGTTAAGAAGTACACCACAAATTGGAGGACGAGCTTCTCCACTTAGTGTAAGCGTCAAAATAGTATTATTATTATTATTATTATTAGTCCTCCTATTACTATTACTGACGCTATTTTACTGTTACTATCATTACCACGTTATTTGGACACACGCTGTTTAATCGAGCTGAAACTTTTAACCGTACCACCATAAATCAAATTTTGCATGCGAGTTGAGAGTTGTTGAATCGTATTAGGCGTACACATGGGCAAATCTCCGGAACCATGCGATTCCTCTTCTTCTTCTTCTCCTTTATTAGCGCTGTAACCGCCAAAGCGATCTTGGCCGAGTCCAGAACAGCACGCCAGTCATTTTTCTTCCGTACTAACCGACGCCAATTGGAAATGCTAAGTGAAGCCAAGTCCTGCTCCACCTGGTCTTTTCGAAAACTCCAAGAGCCGCTTCATCAGATGTTTTCATTGTCTACGCGTCCGCGCCATACACCAGCACAGGCATGATGAGTGACTTATAGAGTGTAATCTTTATACGATGAGAGAGGACTTTACTTCTCAATTGCCTACTCAGTCCAAAGTAGCACCTGTTGGCAAGAGTGATTCCCCGTTGGATTTCAAGGCTGACATTATTATTGGTGTTACTGCTGGTTCCCAAATAAACGAAGTCGTCTACTTCTTCAAACTTGTAACTGTCAACAGTGACGTGGGTGCCAAGATGCGTATGCTCTGACTGTTTGTGTGATGACAGGAGATATTTCTTTTTTCCTCGTTCACCACCAGACCCATTCACTTTGCTTCTCTATCCAATCACGAGAGAAGAAAAATTCCAACAACCATGCGATTCACCGTTTAAAAAAAAACGTAAATAAATTATACATAAAATTGTTCGAAATCCATTGAGGAATCAATAAATTCACGTGTGATTCATTTTCTTTACATGCAAAAAACGATAATTTTCGAAAACTCAAAGTTATCGATGTTTCTAGAAAGCGTGGTTTTTGTCTGATTTAAAAAATTTTCAAAACGGTGTTTAAGAAGGCCAGGCGCAATGTGTGTTTCAAATTAACCGCAGATTGGTGAAGCTGTTTTCGAGATACACATATTTTACATGAATGGGCGAACCACGCCCACTTTCCAAAAAAAACAAATTTTTGCTTGAAATCCGCTGTAAATATCATTTTTGTGTAAATATTTAAAATTTACCACTAATCACTACAGGCAGACCAAAAAGTAGTCACCATACTTCGCAGAAACTAGCAAAAAACATGCGATGGATAGGCGAAGATTTTACGTCCAAAATTTTAAATCGTGATATATTTCGAATGCGTCCATAGAAGATTTTCTTTTTAGCTTAAATCAATATGATATTTTAGAAAAATCCGCTCCTTTCAAGCCGACAAGTCCTTACTTTTGGAATCAGTGCGTTCAAACCCTTTGAAATTTGAAAGTTTTATTCCAGGACACGATGGAACATATTTTTTCAATGTTATGCCTTTTCATCAATCAATTACTATGATCCTGCCAGGCTAGGACCTGGCAAGTCGGTGATTTGAAGCAGAGAACGAAAACAAACAATAGCGAACGTGTCGGTATCATTTAGTTTCGCTCATAGAAGGTAACGAAACACAACCGATTCAAATCACTCGGAAACATTTTGCGAGCGGTAATTTTACTCTGCTAGCGTTCGCGATAGCTAACGCAAACAAAACAATTGAATGCAGAGAAATAGGGAAACAAACGAAACCTATATAAAGTTAGTGTTCACAATACAAAACGAAACGATTCGTTTAGTGATCCCCTAGTATGCATACATTTGTATGTACCCAGTAGAAATTTGATGCATACGACATTGCTGTTGGTGGCATGAGCTTGCTGCTGTGTATACATGCCAGTATAAATGAACGTTCATTTCCATTTTCCGTTCTTGCGCTCTTGTTAAATTGTATTCGTCTTGAATATGCTAGCACACTGGTAAGTTAAGTATATATTTTTTTAGTTTGTAAGTAGGGCCAATGTATATAAATTGTTACGAGTTGTATATTTGGAGCTTTTCGGCCGTTGATTTTAAAGCAAAAACGTTGGTTTTTCTTTTCTGCCTCCTACGCCTAAGCCTTCAATTTGTGCCATTCCATACAAAAAAGAACGAAGAAAGGAATGACTTTCAGAAAGGTCTTTTGGAAGCTCCTAAAACTATCTACTGGGTAGTATCTATTGCCAGTCAGCCATGTACTTGCACTTTTTGGCATTTGAAAATAAAAAATTTTGATTTTAACCAAAAAAACTAAACAGAAAAAAAGGTTAGAAAAAACGTTCCGTTTCGACTTTCGACTACTTATGACAGAAAGCTCAACCTTTTTTTCATAGGAAGTCTGCTAAAAATTAGATGGGTGTCAATGAATTGACCTTCATTAAAAAAACCAGGACAATTTAAGTGTGGACCAGGACACCAGGACAATTTGTCTAATTCAGGACAAATCCTGGAAAACCAGGACGTCTGGCAGCCCTAATTTAGCCACTACACTATACATATTGTGTATTGCCAAAGTTTACCATGTTCTTTGGTTATATGTTCTTTGAATTGTACTGAAATCTAAACAGGAAATCGAGCCGTTATAAACGTGGTAATGTGGATGACTTGTCGTGTGTATTTCCTCTCGCCCCCACCAAAAAATTTCTTAGCAACGTCCCTGTACATATGAATGAATTTATGTCCCTGTGAAAGCAGCATTAAGCTGGAAAAATCAGAGCAAAGACTCCCTTTCCCATAACATAAAGATGCATTTACATGAGGCGATTTCTTCACAGGCGATAATGGCCTGCAAAAGTTACTATTGGCCTGCCATTTACACGAGCGATTTTTGTAGAGTAATGTTGAGTCGTCTACAAAATCGCCCCATGTAACTGGAGCTTTACCTCAGATTTAGCTTTTGCATTTATGAAAACTGGAAAAATTTCAGTTCATATGATTTTGAAGATCGTGTGCGCTATGTACATTTTTTTTTTTGCAAAAATCGATACGCATACTTTAAATTTTTTTTCTTTTCAGCTAAATAAATATATAAAAGTTTTATTGCTGTGGGATGATGATAATACTTGCCGACTTGAAGTTGAAGTATTGGCTACGAAGTTAAAAAGAAGTTACCACAAGACTTCTAAATAATTTCACATGTAAAATTTGAGCGCACTTGTGCACAAGGGTATATTAACTTTGTTCACATAACGGTTGTTTGTAACAGCCAAAACGAATCAAGATAGATATAGACAAATGTATACATTGAATATCAATCCTTATTCTATAGTACATTATTTTAAAGAAAAAAACACGGAAACACACGGAGTCGCTAGTTATTAACCGACTTCCAAAAAAGGAGGAGGTTATCAGTTCGTCGGAATATTTTTTTTTTTTGTTTTTTATGTATGCTACCGCATAACTTTGCACCACGTCAACCGATTTCAATAATAAAGGTAGTGTCTCAGAGGTAGTCCCATACTAATTTGGTTTAGATCCGATCTTTGGATCATGAAATATATAGATATATGTATATATATTTTTTTTAAGTCGGTTTTTTTTTGCTAAAAATGACTTGTTAATTTTTTTCGCTCCTGCCACGGGTGCTTTTGCTTTCATGCCGCGTGCCGCGCGAACTCGCAGCGAGCGTGGTACAACCAGAGAACGCAAAAAAATATTAAATTTATTTATATACATAGGCATAGATTATCTAATACAATATTTTTTAAGGTTGTATACATAAATGTACATATATAAATAAACAGGTCCATCTTCCACACAGGTGGTCGGTCACCTGAAATATAAAGACATAACAAACATCGTCACCGAAATGGAAAAAGTCCTTTTTCATAAAAAGTCGAGGGGAGTTCTAATTCGATGAAAGCCATCGTATCAATGAATAAGTGAATTTTGAACTTTTTATAAGTTACGACTTTTTTCATTTCAGCGACGATGTGTGTTACGTCTTTTTGCATTTCTGGTGACGATATTATGACTTCAAATGCAAAAAAAAAATAAAATAGTAAATTCTTGTTTTTTTTTCTACAATATTTTTCATTAAAAAAAGAAAAAAATAGGCCTCAAGCTCAAAAAAAATGGAGAGGACGTCGAATTATTCCATCAAAACTAAGAAAATAAAGTTTCTTAACGTTTCGATAGACTCCATGTTGCCGTGGTCCGATTGTAGAAACACGCATGCTTACGTGTTCGTCTCGGCGAGAAGGTTTATATCTAGGTTAAAACATTAACAGAGTTTCCAGCTGTTAAAAATTTTTGTTCAAGACTGGGATATGTTATCTGGAATGGTCTCTATCGGATGTGACTATTTTTTTAAGTTTCCTTCAAAATTTTGTCAAATTGGTTTATGGCCGCCTAAATCGTTCAAATACTCCTATGTGCATCGTGGCATAAAGACAACTTCTTTTCGTGATGTCGAAAGCGGCTTTGAAATCGACAAATAGAAGTTGTGTGTCGAGCTTTTTCTCACGGATCTTTTCCAAGTTTTGGCGTATTGCCAATACGAGATCTATGGTGGATTTGGCAGATCTGAAGCCACACTGGTAAGGCGCAACCAGTTCGTTGACGGTGGGTTTCAGTCTTCCACACAACAAGCTCGATAAGATAGTTGGCGCGCATTGCAGGGTCACCTTTTTTGTAGATTGGGCAGAGCATCCTTAAATACCTGCACCTTACCAGCTCCTCTCCATTGTACTTGGATACCTCGACTGACAGGCCGCCAGTTCCAGCAACTTTGTTATTTTTCATCAGCATAATCGCTATTCGTACTTCGTTATCGTCGGGCGCTGGGACATCGGCTCCATCCTCATTGACTGGGGGCTCGGGTTCGTCTTCTCCACAACTTTCAGTGCTGCCATTCAATAGGGTCGAAAGGTGTTCCCTCCATAATTTATGTACGTTCTGGATATCGGTCACTAGGTCGCCATGGTTGTACTTACAGGAGTCTTGAGATCTTCCGTAAGTCGCCTGACTCTCTGATAAAAATGTCGGCCCTTTTTTTCATGTCGGCCAGCATTTTAAGCTTTTCGCTCTCACGTTTTTCGCCCTCTCTCTACTTATTGCCGCAAATACGTCTAGCTTCCCTCTCTGGTGGGGCTGAAACTATTAAGCTAGCATTTCCTGGTAATATTTTGGAATATATAGGAAAAATGTTACCACTACCTGGCTACGCCCATATTGCCCATCATGCCTCATCGCCCGCACGATGCAAACGGACTAGGCATTTTTTAGTCTCTAAGAATCAGTTTTTCTGTGCACGGCTCATGGGAAATAAGCCAATTCGGTTTTAGTTGACCATGATTTAGCTACTAGCTTGTTATGGTTAAATAAAATACGCTTGTTGTTTCAAAGCGCGAAAAAACTCAGAAATTTGTTAAAAACAAATTCTAAAATCTTGAAATAATTATTAATATAAATTTTTTGATGGACCTCATAGTGATTGCGGTCCATATTTAATACGTTTCAGCTCCAGTATGCGTGCGATAAACATGCCGACTGTCTAAAGCGTTCTTACACGATATGTATTTGCATGCGTACATGCCACATTTTACATATGGCAATACCAACATATCGTGTAAAGGCATATTCGATTTGTTTCTGTACAAAACAAATGCACGTTTATACGAAATAGAAATGTTTCTATTTTCATCAGACATCATCTGTGTTTGTTTTATTTCGTTTTCACAGAACGTGATTTTGAACAATTAATTAAATACTGTGAATTTGGCAGAATTTGCATCAACTACATATGTACATATGTATCCACACAGTCATATATACAGATGGAAATACATATCGTATAAGAACACTTTTATGTGATGTTAAATTTTTTCGCACCGCATGACTACTTCAGTACAAGTTCTGGATCAAAACTTCAACTGCAAGTCGGCACGGGTTATAATCATCCCACATCCATAACACTTTATATTAGGGCTGTGCGATTAATTGATTACTCAAAATTTTAATTAATCATAAAGTAAATAACTCAATTATTCGATTAATTGGAAATTATGATTACTCAAAAGTTCAGTTACTCAAGTAATCAAGATTTTTGATTAACCAAAAAAAAA